GACTGCTAAGAAATGCTTATTCGAGCTGAAGAAAGACATTTTTAGCATGCGAAGCTCATATGTAAATGTTTCAAAACTGTTTCCTAAAACTTCAGTGATTTGTTTTCAATATTTTCAAATGATCAGAAAAGTGCTGTAGGCTTGCTAACTAATGCTTTATTAAAGTATCTTTAATCTCTAGTAATCTTTAGTTTAAACATAGACTCTAACCTTCACAATTCAAATTAAGATGTTACCGTAGCACTTGAGATTATTTTAAAATTAAGTTTCGTCTGTATGAAGTTATTTTGTTATTTGAAATTTCCCCGAATAATGACGTGCAAACTTTCGTAGTTATTATGCTAATGTTAGACACAAAATATCATGTTATCTAGTCTTTGTTGTTGATTGAACTCTATTGATCAAAGTTTGTCTCATGACCATTCAAATACATGGCTCAAAAATCATAATGAATTGCTTTCATACTAAATGTATGTTGACAAACATCAGGAATCAAATAATTTAGGGTTTCTTGCAGAGTAACACTTAATATATCATTTAGTGTAGCCGTTACATACATCAGTAATGATCCATTTGAGAGGTAACTAATATCATGTAAGACTTAGTTGATTACAATCACCGATCAAAAGATAATAACCGACTTCATGCAGTACAATTCTTAGTGCGAACTAAATTCTACTGATCAAGTTCTCAGTGCTACTAAAAGACTCAGTAAAAGACCATAATATATATCTTCAATCGGTTATCTTTGAATTGCGCTAGTTATATCAGGGGATATTTCACTTAAAGTAAGTCGGTATCATGAATTTACGGGTGAAATACGTATATACAATAGTAAGCATAAAAAAGGTGGAAGATGTAAGTGACGTCTGATTTATCAGCAGTTATTCGTTTACTTCTTTTTTTACGTTAGAGGTGAAACATAACTATTTCAGAATTTTATCCATATTTAGTTTTGGGTTATATCTGACATCTCACCAACCCCTTCGGCACAACATCATCCAAATCTTTATGGATTTTTGAAAATATGATAAATAGTTTGTACCATACATTCAATGCTGGTTGATAGAGGAGAAGATTGGAAAGAAGTAGTCGGAGGGATATGAGGTCAAGTCGTGGAAGCCTTGATTACTGATATAAATCATGTGAGCGGGTCCAGATTGAGATCCGATTAAAATTGGTCGCGATCTCACAACTGTATTCATTCTTCATTTTTTCCTTAATATTTTGTGATAAATGTGATTTTCAATTATTTATTCCTCGATTCCATTCTCTCATCTCTAGATTTATTTTACAACTGATATTATTTTGTCTGCTCTGATTTTATTATTTTCAGTTTCGTCTTTCGTTGTACTGATGACAACTTGAACTGAGGAACATTTATGTCGAATCCTACATTGATAATAACTGATTGCATATTTTTCATCAAAGTGTTATTAGCTTACTACCTCTTTCTTTCTGAGTTGTCTGAGTAATAGTAAACCACACTAAATGCAGAGTTAGTCAAAGTAATGTACATAAAATGTGTTCAGATCATTGGGAGTGGTATGTTGTGGCAAGTTTATTTGTTACATCAAAATATTTATCTGACTTAGATTCTGTTGTGCTTGGGTCAAATGATATGGTCAGGAATTGTGACAAGATAGAATCTTCTTTAGCCAAAAATTAATCTGAATCAATTAAATTCAACACTGCTTACCATAATCATTCATCTGACACATTTCTAACAAGCAGAGTAATTTACTGTTCATATTTCGGTAGAATTGCGTTCTGTGAAGTGAATGTCTCAACTGTTAAATAACATAATCCGTTATGATATTCATCAACCCTCTCAAGTCATTTTAAGAAGTCCTTTTTCTACAGGCGAGACCTTCACATAATCTATATCTCCATATTCAGTTCTTGTTCAACAGTTCATTCCAATAAGTCATTTTATTACTAAATATTTCATAGTATCTCATTCCTTCATGTGAAAACATCTAGACCATATTTGATCAGTAGTGTTCTTAAAAAACAATATCGAAAAAGGAAATTT